TCAACTACTAGTGGGACCTGGTCTTTCTGGGGTGAAAGGAATAACAGGCTCAGGATTGGCCAGTGATCTAATTGGAACTCCTTTCCTCCACTGTCTATCCCTGACCAACCAGCTGATGAGCTGATGGAAGTTTTCACTCACTAACCAACCCCTCTTGGTCTTTGCAGGTCATGGACTCAGGAGAAAGAATCTGAAAATGAAGAAGCTTTTCCCATCAGGAAGCTGCAYGTGGTGACAGAAGGACCAGGGTCACTCGTAGAGTTCAGTAGAGATGCCAAAGAAGTAAGGCCCAATCTCACTTGGTTGGCACTCTTCTCAAAGAATGCCCTCACAAGGCTGGGATTGTGGCTCAGTGGTAAAGTGCTCACCTAGCATGTGTGAGGCACTGGGTTTGATCCTCAGTACCACATAAATTTTAATAAATAAAATAAAGGTATTGTGTCCATCTACAACTAAAACATATTTTTAAAAAATGCTACAAGTCCTGGGGTAGACTGGGGTAGGCCCAGGTACCAAAGAATATGGTAGTGAAAGAGCAGGACCTACACTGGTTCCTAGTACAGGAACTGATTTCTGAACCTTGAAGGAGGCACAGGGACATGCTGACCACTTGTCCCCTGACACACCAATAATCTATCTGGTTGGAGTGAGAAGCCCCTGGGCTGGCACCACCCTCATTCAGATCAAACAAAGCTAAAATGGGTGACCCATGTCAGGGATAGGATTGTTCTGGGTGAACAGTGAAGTCGTAGAGATTCAGCTTCGGCAAGGGTTCGATGACAATGTATAACATGCCCAGAGCTACTATGTCCYTCCTTTCCCAGACCACAGCCTGCATGCCTATGGACTTCCAAGACTGCAATGAAAGGACTCCATGGAACAAGGCCAAGGGGAATCTGGCCAGATCCAGTCAAATGGAAGAGCCTGAACAGTATACTCGGACTATCCAGGTCTCCCTGTGCCGAAATACCAAGAGGGCAGGCAATCCCAGTGCATACTCACACTGCTCTAGCTTATGTGCTAACCCCAGACACTGGGGAGGCCACTCTGAGAGTCCCCCCAAAAAGAAGTGTACCACAATCAACCTCACACAGAAATCTGAAACTAAAGATCCCCCTGTCACCCCCATGCAAAAGCTTATCTCCCTGGTGAGAGAATGGGACATGGTCAATTGCAAACAGTGGGAATTCCAGCCAATGACAGCCTCCCGGAACAACTCCTTGGAGGAGGGTGCCCTGCATCTCCCCTCGGGAAGTGAGACTGCTTCCCAGTCCAGCACCTCCGCTACTTGGAAAGCCCATTCCATAGCGTCAGAGAAGGATTCAGGTCTACCAGCAGGGGCTGGAGCTGGAGCAAAAGACAAGGGGCCAGAGCCAACCTTTAAGCCATACTTCCCCACAAAAAGAGCTATTTCCCTGAAGGACTGGGGCAAGCAGAGACAAAAGGAGAGAGGTGAGTCCTACCCCATTCTTGACCAAAGTCTCATTTACAACAGAAAAGACAAATCCCTTGGCTGAGACCACAGAGCTAGTTAGTGAAAAAGAGAGACTAGAGCCTGCCCTCTAATGCCAGCTCTGAGCCAGGCAGCAGTCACAGAAATTACTGGTGTGCTAGCATAGCTTGGGGAGCTAAGAGACCATATAAGGTGAAGTGATTAGTACTGTGGAAAGGGAGAATCTAAGTAGTAGGAGCACAGGGAGCCTAGGGGGTAGGGCAGAAAGGAAAACAGTTAATTTCCCATAGGACATAGTAAGTGAAATTAATGATCCAGAGTAGTAGTTTGTGGAAAGCACAGACCTTTGGTCTAGACGGTGCACTGGCTTCTTCCTATGCAGAAGCCATGGAAATGAGGCTGAAGGCAGGTCTTGTGGGCCAAGTTCAGGATGTGGTGCTGTTCTGACCTTGAGGAGCAGGCAGCCCCTGAAGAATTTGGGAGCATGTGGTCAGGTAGGCATCTCAGAAACCTTGCTCAGGGGTAAAGGAAGCGCAGCAGCAGGATGGGGTGTGTCAGAAGCAGAAGTTCTTTCTAGGCTGGGTCAAAGAATGAGCATATTAGGAGGTGGGCACCTACCAAGGTGGGGAGGACAAGAGAAAGTAGATCTTGTAGAAGAGCACACAAAGCATGTGGAATGCCAGGGAACACACAGGTGGAGAAGTCCAGGAGACAAGAGGGCCTATGGAGACTAGGATGCAGAGAGTTCAYGTGTGGCTGGTAGTGGGGAGGTGGTCCAGGGAAGTGTGCTGAGAACTGCCATGCCAGGCTGTTTTCTTTGCTCCTTCAAAAGATCTTCCTACAGTACTGTCACCTTACCTTCTAGTGACTCAGGCCCTGCTTGGAAGGACCTTGTTGGACTCTACCTATGAGCCCTAATTTGATCTATCAATATTCAGGCAGACAAACATCCACTCTTCCAGAGTGGGCACATATGAGAATCTCACCCATAAAGCTCTTCTTATTTTAGTTTTATACATTCCCAGTCCTTCAATGATTATGTTATTGGCCCTATTTGATACTAGTGCTACATCAACAGAAGGATTTGGAGAGTTCCTTGGAGTTCTGAAATTCAAAATTTGGCTTGCAATGATGCCAGGGCAGTGAAGAGAAGAAAGGGTGCCATTTCTAAGAAGCTGGAGGCTTCTGGAAGAGTGGGGTTACTGGTCTGTCACCAGAGGTCCCCTTTCCTTTCTTGGGCTCTTAGCTTAGGGCTCTTCTTAGGCTTGAGAGCTTTTCTTTGCCCTTCTTGTTTTCACAGAAAGCCCCGCACCTGAGCAGCCTCTGCCTAATGCCGGTGGGGTAGACAACCCAGGGGTCATCCTTAAAGTGACTCACYCGCCTGTCGTGGGTAGTGATGGTTCCTGTATGTTCTTTGAGGACAGCATCATCTATACCACACAGATGGATAACCTCAGACATACACCACTCACAGCCAGCCCCCAGCCCCGAGGTGAGACTTTGGAGCCATGCCTAGCCCTGTACTTCTTTGGAGATGCCTGAGTCCCCACCCAGGGTACTTGAGGGAAAGTGTTCCTTAGGAACCCTATACCTCTCCCCAGTCCCCTTGGCTATCTCTAAGGTTATCTGGCTGTAGGGAGATATGATATCTACTCTTTCCTTCCTCCACAGAGGTGACTTTTCTTAGTTTCTCTCTATCTTGGGAAGAGATGTTTTATGCACAGAAATGTCACCGATTCCTGACGGACATTATCCTGGATTCCATCAGGCAAAAGGATCCTAAAGCCATCACGGCCAAGGTGGTCTCWCTTGCCAACCGGTTGTGGGTATGTGTGTTAGGCTATACCTTCTCCATCTGTCCTTTCATGCTTCCCTTCAATAAGTGGTAAGGGGAAGTCAGGGCAGAGGCAAGAAGGCAGGGCAGTTTTATCTGGACCTACTCTTGGCCACAAAGTAGATGTGGAGTGCCTGTCCCAGACCCTTGTGGCTCCTATAGGCCCAGGAAGCCCATGCCCCACATGTAACTAACTGAGGGATTAGGAGCTGCCCATGGGTCTKCCTGACTGTGGGCTCTCCTGGCAGACTCTGCACATCAGCCCCAAGCAGTTTGTGGTGGATTTGCTGGCCATCGCTGGCTTCAAGGATGATCGGCACACCCAGGAGCGCCTGTACAGCTGGGTGGAGGTGAGCCTACCTGTACCACACTGGGAACAGCAACCCTGTGGATGCCTCATATGGGTACTGTCTTACTAGACAGTACTGTCTAGAAGGCTAGATCAGAGGCAGCTAGAAGACTGGCCTCTGGTCTCGAGAAATAGTAAGTGAAATTAACTGATCCAGAGTAGTCAGAACATTGATTTTTATAGTTTATTCTCCAACAACCCCAGCCACACTTGGAAAAGCATGTCCCATAAACCCAAGCTTGTGCACACAGAAGTTAGGCCTTTCCAACTTTATCTTGTAGCCAAAACATTACCATAAATGTTGGACAAAGGAATGATTCCTTAAAATGATTTCTACATGCGAGGTGCTGGGTTTGATCCTCAGAACCACATAAAAATAAATAAAGGATATAGGCATCTACAACTAAAAAAAAAAAAATTCAGAAGTAGGAAACACTTCTGACCTCAATTTTTCTCATTTGCCTGGTAGCTAGCCACAGCCCTGTGAGATGCCCTAATGCATCAAAGTTCCCCAAAACCCCAACAATGAGGCTTACCCTGTCCCTATCTCCATCCACCCACTTGGACAATCAGGGGTAAGACAGGCCTTTCCTTGCAGCTTACACTGCCTTTTGCCAGAAAATATGGCCGCTGCGTGGACCTGCTCATCCAGAGAGGCCTGTCTAGATCTGTCTCTTACTCTGTCTTAAGCAAGTACTTACAAGAGGGCTAGGGTGCCCAGAGATGCTGCCCTGCAGCCTCTACCCCATGCATGTGCCCATCCAAATCAGTCTATTCTTTAATTATAATTAAACAAATAAAACAGTAGATCACAAGTCAAAGGTCTAGACTCCTTCTCTGAGACACAAAGGACTTCARTGACAAAGGACTAAGAGGACCTGTGAGATAATAACAAACTCTAATTGAAAGCTATTCAAAAGGAATCACATCAAAATAACCAAACTGGCCCAAAAGCAGAGGATGGGCCTGGGGAGCCAGGGCAGGCAAGGGTGGGACCACTAGGGGTGGGCTGGCTCCTGTGTTTGGGGAGCTCATCATTAAAGCCAGTGAGCAGCTTCACTATGTTTCTCCCAAGGGCTGGGTGCAGCCCAGTCACTGCCCAAAGCCACAAGGTACCCCACTAACCTAGAGCATGTAAATACTTGCCCTAGCCTATTCTGAACTTAAAGTTGGGAGTAGGGACAGGAGAAGGACACATGGAGCCAGAAACCTGGGATCAAGGTTCTTTCCCAGGCTGTGCAGCCAGAGGCTCCAGGGTAGWCAGTGGCCACAGATATCAGTGAGGTGGAACAGGCACCAGAAGATCCAGAGAAGTGATGTTCCTTGGAGATACTGGCTTCTAGATCCACTTATCACCACTGAGRTCAGACCTGTGGAGACAGGCTAGGCATGAATGCCTGCTTCCCTGGTTCTGGGTCCAGGGGTCCCTTGGGAATTGTTATGGCCCACCCACCCCCAGGAAGGAAAAGCTGGGCTGGGGAGGCTGATGGAATAAGGCAAGATGCCACTCACATAGGACAAGTCCTCAAGGACCCTGCCCAAGACCTGCCCTGACACACAGCTGCTGTCAGAGCCACTGGAGCCACTGGCTGATGGGCACTGGGATGAGACTTCAGAGTCCTCAGGAGCTAGGGAAGGAGACTGGGTGAGTTGTCAGCAGGAGAGGCCCAGACCATAGCCTGCCTCTGGCTAACCCCAGACATACTCAAAGAGGGCTGGCTGCCCAGTTCTGCCTCAGCTTCCAATGCTGCTTCCTCTGGGAAGTTGGGAGGATACAGGGGCCAGCGGACACCCAGAAGAGCCGGCTGTCTGTACAGGTGCAAGTTGAGGGACTCCAGAACAGAGCAAGAGGCAGGGTCTCCAGGAAGGGAGCTTGAGGACCCCAGGTAGAGGCTGTCATAGTCAAATGGGGCCACAGCAATGGAAGCCCGAGAGCGAACTTCTGCATAAGAGAGGATCAGGTTGGGACAGGTCAGAAGTCAGGGCTGACAGTAGTCCACAATGCTCTCTGCACAGCTTTTATCAGCCCTACCCCCAAAGTCTGTGTGCTACCTCGGCACTTTAGGACACAGTTGAYATTGCGGTCTTTGATAGCTTCCTCACTGGGTGCGATGTCCCGGAAGGCCTTGTTCCCCACACCCATGGACACCATCTCAGCCAAACGCATCTCTGAGAGAGTAATCACAAATGAGGCCCCACTGGGCTCTATCTGATAAGTTTTTCCTCTTCACCCATATCCCACGGATTAACTATCCTGTACACTGAGTCTTTCTGGTACCAAATTCTCTCCTCCCAATGGGGCAGGTATCATAATTCCTGTAATAGAGAACCTTGACACTCAAAGGTTAATACTGTGTCCAAAGTCACAGACAGTGACTTTGAAGTTGTTTCCCTTACACTGGTTGCTGCTGATGGGCTACCTCCCCTTCCCAAACTTCTAGGTCCCTTGATCCTCCCTGGGCTCCTGGGGTACCCATACTCTGGGGAGGGGAGCATGGAATGAACTAAGGGGCAGAGACCCACCCTTGTTATGGACAGCCTGCCTCCAGAGCAGGCAGGAGATGTCAGATGTCCAGGCCTGCTTGGTGGCCAAGCTAGAGGCCTGTAGCACAAAGGTGTCCCTGGCCTTGCGACGACGGAACCAGATCTCAAAGCGCAGTTTGCTATCCCCACAGGACTCAGTGAGGCCAAGGTCTGCCATCTGTGTAGCAAGGGGTGGGGGGCTTGGTGAGGCATAAGCCAGGGGAAGGGGAAGGGGCAGGGGCAGGGGTCAGGGGCAGGTGGGCCCACCTTGAAGGAACGCTTATAGGTAAATGTGTCAACACCCGCAGGCCCACGGCGAGGTTTGCTGAAGAGTAGCAATTCCTCAAAGAGGAAAACACGACGAAGAGACTTGTGACGCCCAGTGCGCACTGTGAACTCATCTTGTCGCACTAGCTGCCCCTGCTCCTTGAGGTTAACCTGCAAAATCAGGGCCTGGTGGGTGCCCAGGGCATACCTCTCCTTCCATACCCAGGGCACCTGAACATTATGGCCCAAGATGACTCACATCACAGCCCTGGATGGCATCCATGGCTAGCAGGTCATTGCCATGTCGTAGCTGGAAGTGTACAAGGCTCTGGGCCTCCTGCAGGGCATTCAGCTCTTGTGCAGGTCCCCCACAGGCCCGTGCCAACTCCTGCAGTAGCAGTGCATACTTGCTCATGCGCTGGATGGGCTTTAGCAGGTAGGAGGCCAAGTCCAGATGATCTCCCAGTGCTTGCTGCTTGTCCTGCAAGGTGGGTGGGAGACCACTGAGTGGTTTYAAGGTACACCACCCTCTATCCTACTCCTCCCAGTTTCAGGGTCTCCTACCTTGAAGAAGGCGTGACCATAGCTGGTCATCAGGGCATCAGAGCGAGGTTTATTCTTGCTGTAGAGTGCATACATCCCAAACTGCACCCTCTATAAGGACATGCCACTCAGCACAGTTACAAGAAGCCCAGCTCCCAAAGGCTGCCCCCACCCCAGATAAATCATTTTCTCAATTCAAGAGAACTAAAATGTCAACACCTCTCAGTGGGCATTCCCCTACAGCCTGCTTTGAATGAGGGATGATCTGGTAGGAATAGGTTCCATGCAGAAGGGGCTTTTCAGGCCCTGTGGGGAAGAAACCCCATTTCCTCAGACTGAATCTCTATGTTCAGCTCTGCCCCTCCCATAGCTCTAAGAATATCTCTGGTCTCACCTCACCTTGAACTCATTCTCTTGCTAACTACATTTAGTTATGCTCATTCTGACCAGGCCTCTTTCCTGCCACAGCCCTTGCACTTGCTCTTTCCTGGGGTGGAACACTCTCCCTGTCTGGCCTCAGCTCAAATATCTGCAGCTCAAAGGGTACATCTCACTGCTCTCTCTAAAGTGAGAACCCTGTCCCAATAGTAACATGCATTTGTCCTGTTTATTTTCCTCCCAATCCCAGCTATGATCTGGAATTACCTTTTTCATTTGTAAGGTTCTCCTCCTGAACCAAAAACACCCTGAGATGCAGAGAACTTATGGGTCTCACTCACAGCTATTCCTAGCAAGGAGCCTAACAGCTCTTTGGAGTGTGACAGAATCAGCTGGGGCCATATGGCCTGTGGGGCTTACGTGGCGTAGGAAGGCATAGGCTACTCGGGGTGGGTGCTGGGTGCAAGCCTCCAGCTCACGCAAGAAGAAATGGTAATGGAAGTCCCGCAGCTTCTCCAGGTTACCAAAAAGGTGAGCTCGCTGGCCACGGAGACCCTGTGGCACATCGGGGCGATCCAGCTCAGGGAAATAGTTCTCCATGGTGTAGTCAAGGGCCCGGACATACTCTCGCTCAGTGGCCACCATCTCTGCCAACACCAACTGTGGCCTACCAGGAAGAATGAATAGGAACCCTTGAGTCCTCCAAGGATCTACCCTCCGCTGCCCTCCCTCTCCTGCCCACTGCCTGTACCTATTGGGGCTCTTGAGGTCTTTGCCTGGTAGAGGCAAAGTAGAGTATGACCTGGGACGGGTACCTCCTCCAGCCTCTGGTTTGTGGCAGGCAGTGACAATGGCAGCATGATGGAAGTGGTGGGCAGGCTCTTTGAGACTCTGCCCCAGATTCTGATCAAAGCTGTAGGCCTTCCTCAAGGGAGGAGTAGCAGGTACTGCAGGAACCTGGCTGACACGCAGGCTAGCTGTGCTGCCTGTCAGTGGTGGCTTCAGTGCAGCCTCTAGCTTCTGGTCTAGGGCCAACCAGGTATCCTGACACTGTGCCCAGGCCCAGCGGCATTCCTGGCGGATGCGCTCTGAACCCAGCCCTGTGGCCAGAGCCCACATTTTTCTGAAGTGCGCAGGAGGCAAGTCAGGGTGCTGGGTCCAGTGCAGCTGTAGCCGCTGTAGCACAACCCCTGGGTGCTCCTGCTCCAGCTCTGCCAGTACTCGCTGCCCATCCTCAGCCCATGTTGAGGCCTGCAACACCAAGACCAGATGGGCATGAAAGGGGAACCCCAGCAAATTTTCTGTTCCTCTACTGATCCACCTTTCAGAAGGCTAGCCCCACACCATGTCCCAAGTGGTTGGATTTCAGGGTCAGAAAACAGGATGAACAGAAGGCACTCAGGCTGAGGTAAAGCTGCAGCAGCCATTTTTGGTTCCTCTGAGAATAAAGCCAGAGATAGGACCTCTCACCCACCTGCTTGAAGAACTGAAACAGTCTCTCAGCATCTGCCAGCCTCTGGCGCCGCTGGGCTAAAGCCCTAGAGAATTCTATCAGCTGGGCTCGCAGGGTCAGAAAGCGCACCCCAGGGGGACCCAGTTCAGCTGCCTCCCAGCCAGCCAGTGGCTGTAGAAACTTCTCCCCTCTCCTGACCTGCTCCTGGACAAAAAGAATGGGCTCAGCTGGCCCAAATCTGATGGTCCAGTCCTGAACCCAGATCATTTCCACTGACATTTACATGTCTTTAAATCTCTCCTGAGGTAGAAGGCCTTTCCTCCACCCACTCCCAGTATCCACTTTCCCTCTCTCAAGCCTTCCAAATACAGCTCTCAGCAACATTCAGCCCTCTCTCTCCTGGACTCCAATTCCTCCGTCTCTCCTGACTCTCCTTGTGCTTATCAGTGGTTCTTCCTCCTTCTCCTTTTCTCTCACCTAGGCTCCTGAAGATAGTGCGCTCTGTCCCCTAGACAATACGGTGTGACCATACACTACACCCACCAAGTGACCCTCTCCAGGCAGACCTCTCATTTGAGCTTCAGACACAATGCCTAAGGGTCTTATTATCATTCTCTCTTAGACATCTCAAAAGCATGAATTGCCACTTCATTGTATTTTCCATTTCCATCCTCCAAATCACTACCTAGAAACTTAGATCTTCTTCCTAGAATACAGTTTTATTATACTTTCTTTCTTAAACGTATCACTGTGACAGGATCTGGCCAATGACCGGTCTTCCAGCCTCATCTCATACTACTCTCCCTCTTCTGCTCGATTCCAACCTCATTGGCCTTATGGCTCCTCAGGCACATCATATTCTCCCAGCCTAAAAGTTCCTCTATCCCCAACCTTCTTTGGCCTGATTGACCCCAACTTACCCTTCAGCTCTCAGCTCAAAAATCACCCTAAGAAAGTTTGCCCAACAACCCTGAGAGGTCAGATCTTTGTTACATACTCAAGTAGAATTTTAGTCTCAGTTTTGCACACACATATTTGTCTGCAAACTTTTGATTATAACTGACATACTCTGATGGACAGTATATACCAGGAGAGCAAGGGATTGACTTATTTCCATTCACTTCTGCAATTCTAGTCACTGGCAAAGTAACCTATACCCACAGAAGTGAATAAGTGACTAAATATACCTGGGCAACCTGGTCCAGCTCCCGGAAAGGGCCTACAGACTGAAGCAGCATGTCCAGTGAGGGTTCCCCTGACTCCTCCAGTGCTGGCCAGCCAACCTGCTGTAGCCATACTTCAATCTGGATAAGCACAAGCAGGAAGAGGCAAGGAGAGCTGCTTTTGTATAGAGCTGGGGACTGTGTGCATTGGGTTCACACTTAAGACCAGGGGTGGGGTCCACTTTGGTCAAAAAGTTCCCACCTGGTGCAGCCTGCCCTCCTGGGTCTCCAGTGTTTGGAGCAGCTCTAGTGCCTGCACTCGCTGGTTGCTCTGCAGGGTCAGCTGATGCAGCAGTCCATCTACACGGCCATATAGTTCATTAGCCTTGTCTACCGCTGGCCTAGTACAGAGTACACAGTAAGACCATGCACCTTACTGGTCCCCTTTCTCCSTTCTACCTTGTACTGAGACCTTAATCCCACTAATCCTGAGTCTTTGACATGGATATGGTGGGCTGTGCTGGGGAAAGATCTGGAAGCTAGGCTCATACTTACCTGTAGTCTGGGCTCAGGGTCACCTCTCGGACCTCCTGCTTCAGCCATGCTAGTTCTAAGCTCCCCTGGCATTGTAGCCATGCCAGCTGTGGTGAATCCAGCACCTGCTGCATCAGGACCTGTGCCTGCTGTAGCACCCGACCAACTTCCTGTGATTGAGGGCAACAGGTGGTGGTGGACATGGGAGAGGAGGGAGTCAGAACATTCAGGGAGTTATCAGGAGGGGACACCTACCCCAAAATCCATAGGCTGAGGTACAGCCTTCACATTCTTGATGGCCCCCTGGAGCAGGGCACAAACCGCCTGGCAGCTCTGCAGGAGGGCTTCCAGTCGCTGTTATCAGGAGCAAGAATAACCAGAATGAAGTGCTGATCCCAGGTTTCCTGAATTTCAGGCCACTGCAGCCAGCTTTGTCCTACTGTAGCCAACCCAGGACAGATTCCTYCACCGGTTCAGGTTACCTAAACAACCCTACCCACCCACCTACCCAGAGCACTGACCATTCGGAAATCCAGCCAAGTCTGGTGGCAGTAAGGCAGGCATCCTCCTAATGAAGTAGGCAACCCTGCAGTAGGGATGTGGGTCAACAGGCTCTGATGAGAGGGCAGCTGCTCCAGCTATAGGAGAAGAATGTGTTGTGACCTAAGCTGGTGGAGAAGACCCCACCTCCAACCTCCAGCCAACCTGGCTCAGTACCTGAAGCCCTGAAGGTACCTCCTCAGGCATTTTTCCCATTAGCAGCACCTGGTGCACTGACCCCGGAGCTGCTTCCTGCAAGGAATCAGAGCTCAGCCCTGTACCCAGCTCTACACAATAGGAATGGAGGGGAGATGCAATTCTGTACTCACTTGTAGTTGGCATAGCCCCCACAAGAGGGAAGAGCTTGGGGAACAAATCCGGGCATCAACTAGTATGGTAAGTCCCAGGGCCTGGACTTCAGGCCTAAAGGGATGTGTTTCAATTTAGTATCTGATTCCCAGGTCCTGACATCTCCTAGCTCAAGCCCAGTCCCCCAACCATCTCCCCCAAACCTGGGGATGCCTCGCAAATAGAGTAGGAGGCAGATGAGTTCATGGCTGCTGCACTTGGGGTGAAGCCAGGCTGGGCTGTGGGCATACAGCAGTAGCACAGCTCGGCCTTCTACATCACGAGTTCCTGTTGGGGAGGTGGCAYTGAACATTCATCCAATTAGGCCACCCCACCTCCACTGCCTCTAGGCCCTCTTAGCTACCTGGCAAGGCAGCCATGCCACTGGCCAGCAGTTCCCAGGTGAGGTTTTGGGCCAGGAGGCAGTCGGCAGACTTGGGAAGGCTGGATCTCCTAGAGTCTTGGAAGAGAAATGGCTTGGGTCTCCATGGGGCCACCTACTTAAAGACCCCCTCTACAGATCAGGGCTTCAGCCTGAGTAGGGTCAGAGACCTTCCCAAATTTTAATACCCACCTCTGGGTATCCCCATTCCCTTCCCAGACTTCCCTAGCTCAGCCTTCCTTACCTGTTACCATCGGTTTTGATGATGTGTCTGATAAAGTGTCTCCAAGATCCACAGGGCTGCTGTCCAACCCCCCAGGGCCTAAGACTGCCGGCAATGCCTCTCCTGAACCTGGGTCCCCTACCAAACCTCCCCTTGGGTTGTCACTTTCACCCTGTGCCAGGCTGAGGTGGGAGGACATGGGGCACAAGAGGCTCTCCACTCCAGAGGGGAATGGCTCCTCTGACTGGACTGAGGAGCCTCCTAATGTGCTCTTCTGGCCATCCCCCGATCCATCTATAGCCTGTAGTTCTGAAGGTAATTGTAGGTCCCTGGACAAGGGGCTGCCCAGAAGCCCTTCACCCTGGGCAGGTGGTCGTGGAGGACTAGGGTCCTTAATCTGCTTCTGGGAAGCAGAGTCCTCCTCCTCCCAGGCATCCCTGAAACTGCATACAGCAAACCTCCAGTCGGTGGCGTGCCCCTGGGAGTCTGGGGACTCATCCCCACCCTCYAGGGACCTTTCCATCACCCCCTACTAAGGGTGGTCCTGCTCAGGGCAAGTGGGCAGGGGCTAGGACTCGGTGTGAAAAGAGGCCTAGGCTCATCCAGGAACTGTGTTGAAGATGGTCCCACAGGACTCCACAAGCAACGCAGGCAGAGCGCAATAGGCCAAAGGAGGTGTCAAAGGAGGTGCCAAAGGAGATGCCAGGAGCAACGCCAGGCAGAGCGCACTAGGCCAAAGGAGGTGCCCAGACACAGGAGGTGCTGCTGCTACCGTAAAGTTGAAGGCCTGGGGAAGGGGAAAGAAAGTCAGGGATCTCCTTCCTGACCAGGGCCCTAGTCGTGCTCCCATGAGCCTTTGCCTGGTAGGTCCCACCCGACTCCACCCTCGGACTTCGCCTCACACTAGGCTTTGCAGGACTACCCGTGAGGCTGCCTCGTGCTCACGCTCCCCGCCAGCCCTACTCGGGGGACTGGCGCGCGACTCAGTCGTCCGCCACCTACACTCACGTTCCTGGGAGTGCCGCAGGGAACCGCGAAGCCGAGTCTTCGAACACTCCTGAGCCTCGACGGCGGGAACAGCCTGGCCGCCCGGCGTGCAATGGCGCCGCCTCCTGGCGGCGGGGATGGAAAGTAGGGCCACTGGAGACGCAGCGCCGCGCCGCCCCCTGGGGGCCGGAGGACGAAGCCACAGCCCACCCTGCAGGTCCCGACGGCAGACAGCCGGGCGGCGGGAAAGCGCCGAGGMGTGGGCCCGCACAGCGCCCCTTACCCACGGGTCTGACGGCGCTCCCGGACTTGAGCGCCCCGCCCCCGGCGTCTCAGTGCGCGAGTCGACAGCGTCCAACGGCCGTTCCACCGAGCCCACCGCGCTGCCAGCCGACACGCCGGAAGCGTGAGTGAGCGGCGCCCTGCTGGGGGCTGGGGAGGAGGCTTGCAGGTCGGCTGCCCCAGCTCGCGCCTGGGGGAAGCCCTTGGTTGTAGCGGAGGGGCCGCCGCCTTGCAAGCCAGCAGGGTCCTGGAAGACCTTCCCAGCTCCCCTAGCAAATCTGGTCCAAAGAACACAAATGTGAATTAGGGTTTCCGAGAGGCTCCTAGGAAGAGACTCCCTAACCCCACAGCAGCTACTGGGAGCCAGTAGAGATATCTTCAAGGAGGCTGGGAGTGTGGGGCCCCYCCACCTAAGACCCCTTCTGCCTTCAAGTGCCCAGGTCCACACACCAAGAGAGTGAGTGTGTGGGCTCCCGGTGTAGTTCCGTGATGGAGGGCTTGCGTGGCATGTGGGAGGCCCTGAATTTCATCCTCAGTACCGTAAAAACAAGAACAACAAAAAACTTGTCATTGAGATAAAGAGGTTGTGGTATCCTACAACAGGATGGAATACCCCTCTGTCTGGGCTGCAAGGTGGAGAAGACAGAGCAGCCTCTGGAGTGGGAGCTGACCCAGGCCTGCCAGAATGCATCAGGCCCACAGACCCTCCACCCTCTTGCTTCCTTGGCACCTCTTTTTAACCCTTTCCCAAAAAAGTCCAGCTAAGGAGGCTAGTGCTGATGTTGGGGTCCTGGACCTGGATCTAGCCTGGACCTGGCTTCTCCACTCACCTTTGGGAGGAGCTCCAGGGACTGTCTTCTCTTTGTGCCTCACCTGTGAAACAAGAAAGTTACTCTTTTGTCCTGGGATTTCCAGAAGGACTAGGAAGGACCCAAAAAGTCAAATACTGCTTTCTGGGGCTACATTTATGCCCTGTTCCACCCCCTCATTACACCCTTAGGGAATACTGAACTGATGAAAGACACTTGAGATTTCTCCCAGCTCTGAGGTTTGGGTCCCTTTGGGGCTTGTGGGCCTGGCCTGACAGTTTCCTCAAAATTTGTGTGAAGATTGTTGGGAGGTCAACTGTGTGGCCAGAAAAGGCAGCAAACCCCACCGCATGACCAGGCCCTGTTAGCATACCCAGGCCCTTGATCCCTGAGAGGAGAGGGCAGTGAACATAATGCYTTCCCTGGCCCTAAGGCAGATGCCTCCTTCATGAACCTGGACATCAGCAGCAGGCACAGTGGGAAACAAAGAATCCTCCCCACACCCATTCAGTACCCAGAGTTCAGACTCCCAGGCAGATACCAAGCAAGGAGCAGGGCTGGCCTTGGAGTTGTTCTGCTCTATCCACAGTCCCCAGTCAGATCTCTTTGCCCTCCCTCCTCTAGCTTCAGTGAACATTGGGTCCAACTTTGGCTCCCTCCCTAGCTCTGTTCCAAGGCCGCTCCCACTGAGTCACTGCCTCCTGCTCCCCCTTTCTCCCTCTACTGCCCACTCCCACCCAATAGCACCTCAGGATCCCTAATAACTGGGATGGCCTGCTGGCAGGCACACATACCTTCCCAGTGCCAGAGGCAAAGAAGAGGCCCAAGCCACGGGCCCTAGCTGACCCTGGCACCCTGGGCATAGCAATCAGTAAGGGGGATAAAGACATGCTGAGAAAGAGGCAGGGCTAGCCCCTGGTTTCCCCATTCCACATAGAATGTGCATTGTAAGCAGTCTGTATGTTGTCCTCTTCTTCTGTATTTTCATTATCCAGCACTGGGCCTGGCACAGAACAAATGTCTAGGGGTATCTGAGACTGGTCACATTGCCCCTGCCCTCCTGAGGCTCCCATCTGTGAGTTGCATGGAAACCAATCACAGATGGAGACATTCAGAGGCTCAGTCTGAAAGGGAAATAGAGAAGAAGCAGAGAGCTGCAGGATGCACAACCCTGGATAGCAAAGGTACAGAGATGGTAGAGAAACAGGGACAGACAGAGGCCTAGTGGGGAACATTGAGGGGCTGGGCCTGGAGCCAGCCTGGGGCGGCTGACCACAGCAGGCTCTGTGGGCTGAGCTTGCAGGACTGAGCAGTGACTCATGGAGCCCATCTCTGTGGCTCCACTGGCAGCAGAATCTACTCACACCAGCCTTTTCCACTGAGATCATAAAATGTGGATGGGCTTCCCTCCTTGCCCCTTCCGCAACCCTCCCTCAACCTTCCCTCAGCTTTTCCATTCCTTGCCAACATGGGTCAGTCAGAAATAAAATGTGAGCTCTGGGCCTCAGTGGGCTTGATAATAAGAGACTCATAGTCATTTCCCTTGCTCCACCTTGCATACCCTTCTTCAGCACTGCCCCCAAATAGTAATGGCAGCTAATACCCCAAACCTTCTAGACATCTCTAACCTTTGGCGTAAATAAACTCCAAACTCCATTCRGTGTGGCATTCAAGGCCATCCAGAGGCATCATAGCCTTTCTTCCCAGCACCCAGATTGGCCTGGGAAACATCTGATTACAAATGTTGTCTCATACTGTCTCCTTTACTTACAAGGCCCTCTCCCATCTCCCCTGATCAAAATGCTTCCTCCTTCAAGGCCTAGATAAAGCACCTTCTCCCAGAAGTCCTACCTAGCTGGTGCCAGCCCAGTCAGGCTTGRAACCCAATGAATGAGCTTGTGACTTGCTCTCTTTCCTACGTAGCAGACATTTGCCCACCTCCCCAACCCCCAAAATTTGCTCACCTGTTTTCTGGACCTTCATAGACCAGCTGAATCAGAACTTTGGGGTAGGCCCAGGAACCTGCTTCCCAGTGATCCTGACATCATAGTCTGGGAACAGCTACCAGTACCAGCCTCTTTACATCCCTTGGACTTCTGGAGCAGTCTCACAAAGGTCTTCCATCTCTGGCCTTTCTTTCTACTAATCCACCTTCCATCTTGGCTTCCACACAACTCCCACCTGGTACCAGCCCCAAACATACACATATACTCTGTCTCCTCTAAGAAGCCTGTACATATCTGCTCAAGGACCCATAGCACTTTCCACCTACCTTTGCCTTGCAGTATAAGATGGATGATGACAAATACTTATGATCCCTTACCATGGGCCAGGCCTGGAACAGATTCTTCCCTATYTTATCATTTAATCCTGGCAGCAACCTTCTGAAGTATGATTTTATTCCATTTTAGAGATGAGGAAACTGAGGCTTAGAGAGATTTTGAAACACGCCCAAGATAACATAGCTGGTGAGTAACAGCTGGGACTGACTGTTAACTATTAGTTAATTACAAGGCCTTGTCATTGTTAGTAGTAAACAACTTGAAGGCAAAGTTCCTTCTCCTCATGTTTTCCCCACGCACAGTGCAGAAAAAGTAAATGTTAGTTTACTAATTTTTTAACCTTTTTGGTATGCTGAGTCCTGCAGCTAGTCCTGGGCTAGTAATTACCTAGGGCTATAGAGGTTGGGGTGTGAGGAATAATACACGGGTTCAGGGCTTCTTTTGGGGATGATTAAAGTGTTCTGTACTTACATTGTGGTGAGGGTTGCACAGTTCTATGAATATATTAAAAACTCTGAACTGCACATTTTAAATAGGTGAATTTTTATGGCATGTGCATTTAATCTCAATAAAGACACTTTTAAAAAATCTTTCATGGGCTGGGGATGTGCCTCAAGCGGTAGTGTGCTCGCCTGGCATGCGTGTGGGCCAGGTTGGATCCTCAGCACCACATACAAAAAAAACAAAGATGTTGTGTCCTCTGAAAACTAAAAAATAAATATTAAAAAAATTTTCTCTCTCTCTCTCTCAAAAAAAAAATCCTTCAGACAGTGGGAATTAGATTAGGGAGTGTTGTTATCTAGGGTTTTCTGGACGCACACTAATCTGATTTGTATCATAAACATGCACAGTAACCATCTTGAGATTGCCTTCTCACTTGCCATGTATAAAAGGACACTTCTGGGGCTGGGGATGTGGCTCAAGCGGTAGTGCGCTTGCCTGGCATGCGTGTGGCCCGGGTTCGATCATCAGCACCACATACAAAGATGTTGTGTCCGCCGAGAACTAAAAAATAAGTATTAAAATTCTCTCTCTCTCTCTCTTTAAAATAAATAAATAAATAAATAAATAAATAAATAAATAAATAAATAAAAGGACACTTCTGTTCATTTGTCCCACATCTGCCTCTAGGTTTTCCAGAAATGCTTCTGTTGTCCCCAGGT